CAACCCCCACACACCAACCCCACACCATTTCTCCCAACCAACACCTTCAAATCCTATCTCAATACCTTTACAGTCCTTTCACCCCAACATTCCCTCCCTCGCCACACCCATCAACATTCCCTAACATAATCCAACCCCCTTCATCTTCACCTCACAACTCCTCACTTACCTGCCACTCTTACTTCTTATTAGTATTTATTTCTTACTGATTATTATTATTATTGTTATTATTATTATTATTATTATTATTATTATTATCACTATTATAGTATTATTATTATTATCAATATTATTTCTATTATTAGTACTAATATTATTATTATTATTCCTACGACTATTAGCATTACTACTTACAAGAACAGTATTAATAAGCTCCTTCACCGCCATTAAAACGCCTCACCCCATTCCTATCTTGGAAGTTGGAACAAAAAACCCCTTGGACATGAACTCCCAACCCCAAGCCGGGTTGCAGTAACCTGTGTTCCGCAGCAGTCTGCGGGCCCGAAACTGCGCCCAGACGACACAGGCCAAACACGACCTGCGCCAGGCAGTGCGACCACGCACTGCCCCCTGGAAAGTCAAGGGTCCAAGTCAACTGTCAGGTCGAAGGTACCGCGCCCAGGCCCTTGGTCGGATAGACTCACTTGTTGTGCGCAGGTACCCAGACAGCATCAAGGACACAGGGAATTCTGTTGCAGGCCAATCTGGGCCGTCATTTGCGTTGAGATCTCGACGGTTGAGGGATGCAGCACCTGGGGTCCAGACCCCACGTCAACGCTACATAAGCGTTGACCTCCTGGCTTCGAAGAACATTTTGTCTTGTGTCAATGCTGACTTCACGCATTGACAACGACGCTAGCGCGACGCTGCGACGCGGGCCGGGCGCTGGCTCTATGCTGGCAATTGGGAGAATTACGGCGACGCTCTGCTGGCTCGGCATGGTGGCTGGCTTGCAATTGTCTTCTGGGCATGCGGACATGGCAGCTGCGACGCCCCGCTGCTGACGTGGCCGCTGCCACGCATATTATTATTGTTGACGTGGCGAGGCTACGCGACTGGCATTGCTGTTCTGTTTCGACGACATTCGGGAGGAGATCATGACTGTGGGGCGATAGTGGATACGTACCTGGTTATCTTGACGTCGACATTGCTTCAGCTCGCTGATGAGGACTGATTGACGTGCCACGTGGCACGTTGTGATAGAACTTCAGATGCGTGTTCAGATTATTGACTATTGAGGTGGTGATCGAGGAGGGAGCCCGAAGCAGAAGTTGGCATTGTCTGTATTTCTCTCTTCTAAGTCTAGTCTCCCTCCTCTCTTCTTCGTTTGTGTATGTTTCTCCCATCTCATTGTATCTGGACACGATTATGATTATTGACAATCATCAGCAGGTTGATATCTATCTAGGCTTGCATTGTTGACAAGTGTCTTCACGATCTGGGTTCATTGCAATTTGGTATCGGAGTTGTACTCCCGATGATGTGATTGATGACGACGACCTGTACGAGAATGACGACGATGACAAGTGTGTGAGAGAGAGAGAGAGAGAGACACACGTCAGGTGCTGACGTGGCATAGATATCCCAATAGGGGATGTTCCAGCCAGGATCACATTGCGACCCAAATCCCGATCGATCGCATCTGCGATCAGGATACATTGTTGACGTGGCCAGTGATTATTGAGGAACACTGACTGGGCAGTGCTGACTCACCACTTGTCTATTGTGGTGAGGAGCTCCAGGCTGACGTGGCATTGTCTGACGTGGTGCTTCATTACCTGGCTGATGTGGCATTATATGATTGACTGGTGACGTGCTGGTATCGCTCTAGAAGATCAGGCTGGCTGACGTGGACGATCAAGGCATATGCTGCTGACGTGTACCCCCACTGATGATGATGATGAATGGACTAACGTGCTGACGTGGTAGACTCGATGAGCTGTTGTGTTGGCACGCTAGGGGTGACACGTGGCAGGCACGAACGTGCCTAAGTGGGAAGATACACTTTGAAGACGAAGGCGGCACGGTTGGAAGACTGACGTGACTGTGGTGCTGGACGTCAGGTCGAGTGTGTTATCACACCGGACTTCAGAGGACACAACATCACAAAGGAAGACGCTAACTATTGATGTTCTGTTTGTTGGCGGACTTACCTGTTGTCGTGAGTTGTGTTGTGTGCCTGTGTACTCACTTGTGTGCTGTTGATGATCATGCTGGCCTGGGATTGCGGTACCTGTACTAGTATAGGACGTCATCACACAGAATAAACAAAACAGTAGTCAGATTAGATAGGAGAAATTGAAATTATTTCTTTCTGTTCCATTCTATTGAAATCTTTTTTGTTTAAGATTGTTTCGGCTCAGGTGACTGATCAAATTAATTGCCTCCTTTTGTTTATTTGAGATAGATCAACCTGGCCGACGAATTTTCTTGTTTTTATCCTTCGAAAATGTCTCACTTCTGGAAAAATCTGCAGATGTCTATTTTGACGAGGTTCGTGACCACGTTTTTGTTTCCTATTTCGATCACGCTCTCTGTTGGCGATGGACCGTCCAAGATTAAGACTCGGACGCGAGCCGAAAATAGGAAACAAGAACTGTTTGCCTTGTGGAACCAACTGTTGATTGACTTACGTCTATCCGGACCAGATGTCGAACAACACATCCATAACAGATTTGATTTGAAGACGGCTGAGGACCGTCTGAAGAAAGCTGTTACTGTTGTGGAGGTTGTGGCAGCGGGGACCGAGGTCTCCAAACTGGTCGCCCAGTGTCGACAGGCGCTGGACCAGTTTGCATTAAAACAATTAGAAAAACTGATGGAACTGACTCGTAAAGGAGAGATTAGACCAGAAGTGATCGAGGCTACGATTGAAGCAAACATCCAACAATTGAAAGAAACGCTGGCTGCGGAAGAAAGAAAGAAAGAAGAGTTGACCAGAAGGAGAGAACAAGAACAAAGGAGGGAACAAAAAGTTAGAGAAATTAGGCAAGTGATGGGAACAGAAGGTGGGGAACAGGCAGACTTGTCGCATTCGTTATCTCATATTATGACTTACCTGACCTTTTTGGAAGAGAAAATTGACGAGCAACAAACTCAGTTAGATGAGATTGTTGTAGGATTAAGAACAATCACAAACATTGTGAAAGGAAAGAACCAGGTAGACGGTAAGGAAAAAGAAAGAGTAGAAAAAAAAGAAGAGAAGAAAGAAGAGAAGAAGTTGATGAGTGATGCCATCAAGTCTGCTGGTCCTAGAGTTCAGACAACGACCAATGGGAATGGACCGCCAAGTCCATTTCCTTCTCCGCCTAGTTCTCCTCAATCTACTCCTTCTCCGCCTAGTTCTCCTCAATCTTCGACAACTCTGGACAAGACAAGTGCAGAACTGGAGAAGCCAAGGAAGAAAGAAAGAGTGAAAATCAAGTTGCCTTTTAATAACAAGAAAGATGAGAGTCTGCTTCTGTGGATTGCTGAAATCTAAACGTATGTAAGC